TTTGGGTTTAGGGGTAAACCCTGCAGGTGTCATTGATGATGATTTCCCACCAGAGTATCAGGTAGCATGTGTGCCGCGAGGCAGTGATCTATCATGAGCAGATAGTCAGTTGAGACTGGGATAATCGAGGGCCACGCTATACCTAATTGAGTTTAGTCGGGTGCACGGTAGTGGTATCAGCGGGGAGTTCAGTCGAGTTCAGCGGTGCCGAGAGTTTTCTATCCATGGGGTGTTGAATTTGGGAGTGGGTTCCTGTTCTTGGGATGATCCCGGTGTTGGAGCGTTGGTTAATGAGTTGAGGTGAGGGGTACGATGATTTTATGGTTCAGTCTATGAGCCAGGGATGTTATCGAGCAGTTGAGTTGTTTGGTACTAAATTGGTACGAGATTTGGAACGACTAGAGGCAGACGTGACGAGAAGTTCTTGAGGAGTTCATCAGAGGTTCAGAGTATATGAGGTCGATTCATTTCCTTAAGGGGGATTATCGGGCGTTGTGTAGCACTTTCCAGGGGCAGGTGCGATTTTGCTGGAGAATATAGTTATGGGTTAGTTGCATGCTATTTGGTGATGGTTCGATCCCTAAGTGGGGGAGAACCGGGTGCCGTATGTAAGAAAGCAGAGATTTGTCAAGAGCAGTTATAAGTGGAGTATAGAGATATGAGGTAAGAAATCATGAGACCAGAGATGTCGGTGATCGAGGAAAGGGGTCAGAGTGAGTTAATACGGGAAGTACTTGTTTGAGAAGGATGAATGTCTCCACGACAGGTGTTTATTAGTCAGGAATCTGGTATTGGTCAGTGTTGGGGCAAGTAGATAAAGAATGATTGGGCAGCCAACTCCCGGGTCGGTATGCGTATCCTTGTTTGGATTTTGAGCGGCGGGAAAAAGGGTTTCGGAGAATTATCAGCGTATTTCGTAGCGTTAGCGTTTCTTCGTATTGCAATTGAGAAATTGAATACACCGAAGTTGCAACTTGGGAAAAATGAAGATCTAGTTATGGGGTTCAGAGGGAATGTATTATTGCATCTATATGGTGCTTGGAGCAGGAGATCTGTGGTTGTGGCAGGATCTTGTGATGTTCGGTGGGGGTGTTCCGAGGTATCCGGGTATTGATATCTTTATTTCAAAGTTATTCGTGAATCTTGAGTTGAGACGACTTGTGGTATATCAGGTATCTATGGATCTAGTGAGAGCCTTCGAGTATGGGCATCCAGGGAGATTACTTGGGAGAGTGGATCTTCGCAAGGGTGGGCATCTGTTATGACGATTGCCTCCAGAGTCTGTGATGAATATTCGAGACGAGTATGGGTAGCCGCCTATGATAGTCTGTGGAGCACGAACTAGTGGAGTCAGAGGGTGTTGTGATACTGCGGGGAGCCGTAGTACTCACTAGTCAGAGGGTGTTGTGATACTGTGGGAAGCCGTAGTACTCACTAGTCAGAGGGTGTTGTGATACTGCGGGGAGCCGTAGTACTCACTAGTCAGAGGGTGTTGTGATACTGCAGAGCCGTAGTACTCACTAGTCAGAGGGTGTTGTGATACTGCGGGGAGCCGTAGTACTCACTAGTCAGAGGGTGTGTGATACCGCGCGGAGCCGTAGTGCTCACTAGATGGCAAGAGAGTGTGATGATGGAATGTTCTCCGATCAGTGTATGATGTGGAAGAGTTTTGGGCTTGAGTAGCCCTAGTATTGAGTTTTTGGAGCCTGGATGTTGGACCGGGGGCGAGACTGGGGTCCCCGTCTCTGTCGGGGAATGTGGTGAGATGCGCAAGGGATATGCGCAGCAGAAACCAGAGATCAGAGTGGAGACGATCCTCGGTTGGATTGTACTTTCTTGCATAAGGAAAAGAGAATTTCGTGACTTGCGTGTCACGGGGCCGGGATAGTGGTCACGGGGAGGAAGTTAGTGGGATATTTGGATCATGATTTGGGTGACCTTTGGAGGCTCAGCTGTGGAGTCAAAAGCTGACCTGGTGACCAGTCTCGAAGAGGGATATGAGATGAGCTAGAGCCTATCATGATGATGTCTGAGGACACCTCAGAGGGAGTGAACGATTCAGACGCTCAAAGACATGCTTCGGGCATGTGTATTAGATTTCGGAGGGTGTTGCGGCACGTATTTATCCTTGGTTGAGTTATCCTATTTCAACAGCCATCATTAGTGCATTGGTATGCCACCCTTTGTGCTGTTGTATGGGAGGAAGTGTCGGACCCTCATTTGCTGAGGAAAGTGTCGATTCGCGGAAGTGGAAGTTGTAGTGAGAATGGATGATTTGGAGTATGATGGTCGAACATTGTGTCTGTGACAGTGGTATGGAATGACATCATGATGGGATGTCTGCTGAGGATGCGGAAGGGATTCCACGGGTGTAGAGCCAAGAGTCTCAGGATGGATGTAGGGATGGAGTCTGGGACTCCCAGCTTGATTCTGATCAAGGGTCGTGTGCGTAGTGGTGGTGTCTCCTGGGAATGTTAGAGATGTCATCAGTGCGACGGGTTCTCCTAACCCGAGAGTGCGAAGGTTGGTGCGGCTTGGGTGCTTGATTGCAAGAAGAGGACTCATGAGAGTTGCTCTGGGATTGAAGAGTGGGCCTTTCTGTCGTCACGGATTGGATAGAATGGGATTGGATCGGGGATCCGATGGTTCATGGCTTCTAACCCTTATGGGTCGAGTGATTGTTGAGATTTGGGTCAGTGATGTTTCATGGGTAATTCTCGGATCGTTGAGTGTGGTTATCAGAGGGTACATCCGGTGCCCGGTTCGAGACAGTGGTCAGGACACCGTAAGGAAAGGAAAAGTGTGTTCGAGTTTCGATGGGTATGCCTTGTGAGATCTGGTCCGATTAAGGCCAGGTGGCACGTTGTGGGAGTATTTCTGGAGTTGAGTTGTTGTAGGCTTCGAGGGCGAAGCCTAATTTAAGTGGGGGAGAATTGTAACATCCCGAAATATCAAGAGTAGAGTTGAAGGGCTAAAAGAGTAAATTGGGAAAGAGTGACTCGGCGAGTCCATGTGCGGACTCGGCGAGTAGAGTCGCGACTTGGTTGCGTGTTAAGTGGCCGACTCGGCGAGTCAGTGTAATGGACTCGGCGAGTAGGCGCTGAGTGGAGAAAACCCTAATTCTCGGGGTTGAGCCTTATATAAAGATCACTATGTTTTCCTCCCAGCCTCTTTATCACCCCTTGAGCCCCAGAAAACCCTAAATCACGGAGAAGCACCATTGTTGAGTGGATTGGAGCTTGGAGAAGTAATGGTTGAAGAAATTTTGGGAAGATTGAAGGCTTGGAGCAAGGGGCTTTGCTTGGATTCGAATTTCATTGCAGTTGGGGCATCACTTAGAGGTAATATCTCGTTATTGACCTGTTGTTATGTTGTTTCTTCATTTTGGGGTTTGTGAGAAATTGTCTATGGATGAAATGGGAAGTCTAGAGGTTAGATCTGAGGTTGCTACCTCAGATCTGGAAGGGAGAAGAATCAGAGAGCATGAAAGTCCCTGTGTTGGAGTGTTTAGTGAAGCTTACATGTCCAAACCCTAGCCCCAATGTGCAAACGGCTTAGATCTCTTTGGATTCACGTAAAGTTTGCCACTTTACATGATGGATGAGTGGTAGGAGACTAGATCTATGTTTTGGATCAATTGCATGGCCTAAGACGCTTCTGTATGGATTCAGACCGGTGGTACTCGACGAGTCACATGGGGCGACTCGACGAGTTGCTTGAAGATGGCCTGGAACTCGACGAGTTGGAAGAACAACTCGGCGAGTAGGTTGAAGATAGCCTTGGACTCGACGAGTCCATTTGGACTCGGCGAGTCTTGTCGAAGAGTCCCAAATATTCTCTGGTTGAGTCGAGAATCGGTGAGTCAAGGGATGACTCGGTGAGTTGTGTACGAGTGGACTCAGAGTTGTTGGACTCGGCGAGTCTCGGGGTGACTTGGCGAGTTAGGTCGCAGATTGAGTGAAGTTCTGATTATGGGAACTCGACGAGTCACAGGGTTGACTCTGCGAGTAGGGTCAGTCAGGGGTTGACTTAGACTGAGGACTTTGATTTTGACCAAGGGTTGGCCGTTGACTTTTAGGGTTTGGTCAGCGATGTGGCCTTTGGGCCAAGAGAAAGGTAAAATAGTCTTTTACCCATAAGAGGGTGTTATGAGAGGATTTATTCTAGTCTCGAGAGTTATATTCATGAGAGTATTTGCCTTACGTGTTAGGCGGTGGCGAGTTCGAGATTCAAGTGTGGGGATATCTGCTTTCTGCTTGCCAGGTGAGTCTTCTCACTATACTTTACCTTGAGTAGGTAACCAGAGTTATGTGATTAGAGTATTTGTATGCTATATGTACGTGATGTGTTGTACTGCATTATTTCTATGTGATTTATGATGTGCATGTTTATAGAGTTGGAACCGGAAGGTTCCCAGAGTTAGAACCTGAGGGTTCACAGAGTTTGGGTGCATGGACCCATAGAGTTATAGCCTCGAATGGCTAATATGTGTTATGTGTGGTATTTTGGGGAACTCACTAAGCTTCGTGCTTACAGTGTTTTGTGTGATGTTTTTCAGGTTTCTTTCAGTATCACGGGACGGCACCGGCTTGATTGTACACACCAGAGAAAGAGTCATCTTTTGGAGGATACTGGTTTTCTATGCAAGTGAAAATGGAGGCATGTTTTGTAAATCGACTATGAATGAGATTTTAAACAAGTGTTTCTAAGAATAAAATGATTATTTTAAATGAAAAATTTGTCTTGAAATTTACGGTGTTACAAATTTAAGATTTGACTTTTTTTTTCTTTCTGTAGCTGATCCCTCGTAGATATGTAATATCAACTCTTTTTTTATTTGTATTATAAATCTAAAAACAATAAATACCAAAAACATAAAATAGTTACAATTCCAAACCAAACTCTAACATTTAAATACCAAAAGCATCAAATAAATATACAATCTAAAACCAAACATTAACATTAAAATACCAAAGTTAAGTATTGATTGATATTTCATTTCAAAGTATAATGTACGATAATTCTAAATTTCCTCTCAAATTTTGCATTTCTGCATAAATCTTCTCCATTACTTCATATCTTGCATCCGATAGAACGGTCGGAATGGAATTGGATTCCGATTCCTGTTAAATTCCATTGAATTAGGCGAACCAAGTACCACTTACTTTTTCCTGCAATGGAAGGAGAATTGGTCATTGTTGGAAGCATTTGTTGCAATCAAAGCCTTTCTATTGCTGGAAAGGAGATTAGAATCTACTCATTTGAAACCAAATGTTGGACAAGAATGGAATTGAATTCCGATTTGGACCAAATAGTAATTGGAACTACATGTTGGTGAAAGAAAATACCGTGTTTAGGAACTGGTGTTCAGAAATTGTCTTCTCTTCTGCGATTTTCATTCTTTGAACATCTGTGTTGACCATTATGGACCATCTACCACCAAAATTGACTGCACATTTAGCATTTATAAAAATGGATTTAAGATTTGTAATTAGGAAGGAAATTATAGAACTACCCTTCTTTATCAGAACAATTGCACATATTATTTAAAGCTTATATTCATGATAGATTATTTCATAAAACAATACAAGTACTTGGCATCAATCATTTCGAGGAGCTGGTTATGATATTTTATGCTCAAAACCTACATATAAATAGAGTCATTGACTAGTCAACTCAACGATCTTTTACAAAAAAAAAAAAAAAATGGAGTTCTCTTTTATCCTAATTTTTTTTATTCAAATTAAGGTCAGAAATTGACAAATTTTATTAAAGTTAAGTAATGCAGCAACCTACCCTACCCTACCTGACGGATGCAGCACAGATCATTTCATCACCCCTTTCCAATAAGCCACTATAGTTTATGTGTTTTGATCTACAAAATATTGCAAATCATTAACAAATTCAGGCAACAACTTAATGTGTAAAGAAAGTAACAGAGTGTGTAATATGTATAGCTTAAACTTACCCACAATTGTAAACAACATTATGAATTAAGTTGATCCCACTTCTCCTGTTAAGACCATGAATAAAGCACTCATCCATGGATGAATCTTCTGTCTGATCAATGAATAAAAGACCATGGGAATACAGAGAATAGTGTAAAATGTTTTTTAACTTACCCACATTCTTTGTTCCTGTATTAATTGTGAGTCATATAACAGTTTTTATAAAAAAAATACATTAAAGAAAAAACACAATTCTCACCCATGCAAGGAAAACTACTAATCATGACAAGACTTGCAAGAATTTGACCAGAGATATTGGAGCAAAGATTCACAGATGCCAACTTGTAAAATTGTTGTCTAACTTCAGTACTAAAACCAATTACCTCCATTTAACCACCTCTTTTCCCACATTCACCATGATACACTTTTATTTTTTTAACAAAAAGCAAATTTGTATATAAATTCAAGAATTTGAATTTACGTCATTAATCTTTTATATATACCTTTAGATACGGATTGAAAAGAAACCAAGGGGATGTCTTTGTCACCATATCCCATTGAACGACAGATTTTCTTGAATGAGTTAAATCTCTTGGTATACTTGCAATAGTTGGTTTAGGAAAATGTCCAATTTACCCTTTTGAACTTGAATTATAATATATTGAAGATATTTTTGTATTTTTTTTACCAAACCTTCTTTCTTGCAAAATTCCACAATTTGTCGTTGGTTTTCTTCAGCAAGAACCTCTGAAATATCAAAAAGAGTGAAAAGTAATTTTACCATTTTTACTAAAAATGGTAAATAAAAGGCATTTTTATTTTTTACCAGCCCTGTTGGGTTGCCCGGATTAATTGCAACCAATTTCCGAACAGTAATCCCCTTTTGTCGAGCAACTTCTAACTGTTTCTTGAGTTCAGACACCTCCAGTCCCTTTTTTTGTTCAACCATTTGGGATTAGGTGACAAGATGTTTCCCAAGAAATGGAATCAATGCAATGTCTTTTTCATGGATTTGAGACACTGTTCATCAAAGAACCTAAAAGGAATCACTGTATGTTTTTCTCTCTAGAGTGACGCCTTTTTAGTCTGATGAAAACATGCTTTTTTATTCAGATGAAAACATGCTTTTTTAGTCAGATGAAAACATGCTGAGAAAATATTAGCAATGAAATTATCATACGCAAAGTTTTGATAAGTTCAACTAAGAAAATCAACCATGTTCTTGTTGTGTATGATTCTAAGGCACATCCGTTTATACTTTTGATGGACACATATGAGTTCTTAATTGTGACGAGTCATTAAATTGGTCTAGTTGAAAAATGACACCACACAATAATATACCAATCAATTGTAAAAACTGAACATAAAATCGTATATCTATTGAGGATAATGTGTATATATTTATGTTATCAGAAACTAAGTACCTCAGGATAGTTGTTTCCATCAATGTTCTGGAGGCATTGGATAAGTTCACTAGTATTTTTGTTAATGGTTTTAGTTCCTAATCAATAAACCAAGTAAAAAGTACAGAGTATTTAGAAATGTCGCATTTTGAAGACATAAATCTTAACAGTCCATGGTTGTGTCTACCATAATCCTTCCTCCATTTGATCATTTCAGCCCACAAATATTTTATCTTCTCAATATCAAACTACCATTTCCTTCAAAAATCTCTTTCACCAATCATTATGTCAAAATATCACCCATTGTTAATCAAACCAGTAGTTCAAAATAATAAATCGATAAACCAACAACAAACTCACCTTAACATCATGTGGTAAGGAAATCTTATACTTCTTCTCCTCAGAGTATTCAATTTCGGTTTTTCCTAAACTTGTTGAAAAATCATAATTTCATTTCCAAAATTTTAAGCAACAAGCCATTGAAAATTCAAAACTTTGTGAAGGAATACTAATAAATTATGAACAAATAGGCACCACAATGTCCATTTTAAAGCACTTGTTCCTATGTATGTCATGTGTTTCTAACTCAATAGCGCCTAACTCAATAGATATATTCTTGACCTAAAAGTCAAAAATGGATCCTATAAAGAATATAGGAATAAAGAATACAAGAGTATTGAAACAAAAATACATACCAACAATAGGTCGAGACATTATGAAACTCATGATTGCTGATGTTTTGAATTTGAGCCACTTATTAAATGCCTACACCCGGTAGCAAATTCATTCCAGATCAAATCTAGAAATAAAATCTGTATGCTAATTTATATAATCTAGACAACAGAAATTAGAGTCAATATGATAATCAATATGAAAACCCTACGAAAAAACAAAATTAAGGAGTTAAGGAAGGTAGAGCTTAGAAAAATGAATGAAGATATGAACTAGAAACAAAACAAAAGTTAGAGAGCTACATGAAAATGCAACTTACACGCTATTAGAAGCCAAAATTGGAAGTTGATAACGACTAATTTAGATTTGCTCGAGTTTATGATATGAAGTAGCAAAGGATGAACAGATAGATTGAAGTGCATTGGCAGGGAAACGATGAGCCTTCAAGTATAACTCAGTCTTCAAAGAGGGGTGATGCAGGTGGATGGTGGTGGAGGTGATTTCTCGGGCGGAGGAGGGATTTGAGTCGACAGAAGGTCGATTAGGGCTTTGGGAGGAAATCGTTTATGGTTTTGGGAAGAAATCGGAGAGAATGAGAAGAAAACGAGGGAACGAAAAAGAAAAGCTGGACTGAAAATAAAACCAGGGAAGGAAAAAATAAAGAAAAGCAGATGATGAAAAAAATGAGGCATCTGATCTTCTACGAGCGATTGGCGAGGGCCAAGAAAAAAAGGCATGCGATTTTTAGAAATTCATCGTTGTTCCCTAGTTAAAAGGTTTTAATTTGTGACAGATTAGCCAAGAATTGTTTTTGTCGATAAACTCTTGCGATTCCGTCGCTGATCCCTCTATGATACCTCTCTGAACTTCTCTATAAGTATTTTCATCGATATATTTATGTGTTCCATTGCTGATCTCTCAATAAGCCATCACTGATTAGCTACAGTATGAATCCGTAGCTGATTCCGTCACTGAAGGTAAGGTTTCTAGTAGTGCTTTATGAGTTATTCAACCTAACATATTGACTTAATAAGGATGAAAAGTAATATCTTCATTATTCAATATAAACATATTTTAGTTGGTATATTATCAGTATTTAACTCATTATTTTTAAATATCTGTTAGTAAACAAATTTTTGTTGTGCAAATACATGTGAATGTTAGTGCATAAATTTAAAGAAAACATTCTTTATGACGTTATGAATATCATTCCAAGCATTATGTAATATATATATATATATATATATATATATATATATATATATATATATATATATATTACATAAATTTAAAGAAAACAATCATTGTGAGGTTGTGAGCACATCATTTAAAGCATATATATATATATATATATATATATATATATATATATATATATATATATATATTTGAGAGCTCAAGTATGCTAAAACCGTTGTGAGTAATTGTAATTGTTCTTGGAAGTTAATAAATCAATTCTCTCTCTCCCTCTCTCTCTCTCTTTCTCTCTCTCTCTCTCTCTCTCTCTCTCTCTCTCTCTCTCTCTCTCTCTCTCCCGTGGACTTAGATAATTTGACCAAACCACGTTAAATAATGTGTTTAGTCTTTAGTTTTTCGCACTACAAGAAAAACAACCTTTTACGACGCGCAATTTACGACACGCGCTGATTAATAATACGCAAAAGTGTGCTCCCTAAAAAAGCTGTCAGGTCTTTAGAAATTTGAAGAATTTTGGACGTGCATTTTTGCGTGCCCCTAAATTTGTGTCACAAAATAAAAAAAGAAAAAACATGGAGGTCACTTATTAAAAAGAGTGTGTCGTATAAGCATGTCGTTTTATAATTTTTTAGGAAACGCGCGTCTCTGTTAATAACAAAGGGGGGAAATGAAATCCCAAAAGTTAAAAACCCCGCCTTTGTGTTCTTTTCTCCCTTGTTTTCACCAGTCGAAAATCCCTTCTCCTTACAAGCCCTACGTTCGATTGACATCGAAGTAGGTTCGATTCTTCTCTTATATGTTATCTTGAGCTTGATTTTCGATATTAGAATAGAATGCAGGGGTTATTTTTTAACTATCCTAAATTCCACAAAATTGCAGGAACTATTCTTGCTAGGGCTTTTTTCAAGAACGAAGCTCTCGGTGTTCTCTGGCCTCTACAACAATCATCGATCATGACTGTGCTTGAATAGTTGAATGTACCGCTTTCTCTACACGCTTTCTTGCTCGTATTTGTCTCTGATTATCCCTCATGACTTCCACGCATAAACACTATCGATCACGAAACGTCTTCAAGGTAATTGTCATTCTCCCTCTTCTTCTCTATCCTCTTTTGTTACGGCCGAGCAACCTACCGCCTTCACTACCGCCATCACACCCTTCTACTATGCTCTGCTTCCATCACTCAATGAGGAAAACCTAAAACCTTCTACTGCCATCACATCAATGCTTCACCTACTGAATCAACAGTTACGACAACTACCTTGTCATCCAACGATCCCAAGCAAAACCTAAACCAAGTCCTCAATTCAATTCAGAAAACCCTAGGAACCATCCATCGGCTCTACCTCACTGTCTCTTCCTTCAATGTTTCCTCCTAACTCCCGCTTCGATAATGGAGGAGGCGGCGGCAGATATGATTCCAATGATAGCAAGGGGTTCATCTCTGGTCCTCCGGGTTCGATTCTTTGTTCTAATCTTATTTTTCATGTACCTTTACGCTGTAGGGTTTGTGACTGTGGTTATTGCTTTGGTAACCACGTGTTTATCTCTAGACGAGCATGTCATTTGAGTGAATTCGACTAAAGTTAGGTAATACTGAAAAACAAATGTTCTAATTGTTTCAGAGCAACTAGAAAGGGATCATTATAGGAATAGGAAGAATTTTGTTTTATGATTAAGTGGGTTGAATAAATTGTAACAAACAATTTAGGTTTAATTTGTGCTTTCACTCACAAATACACGTGCACAAAATGTGTGAAGTACTTAATGTGTACATGATTTGAAAACAGATGTGTTTTGTGGTTTTAAATCAATAATGATTTATATACGTCCTCAGATCACCTGTTTATGGTTTACTTTTCTGTAAGTGCAGATTATGGACAAAAGCCTTATTCAACCACTGCTGTATCTTCTACTTATGGTTATGGCAACCCAAGTAAAAAGATCGACATCCCAAAATGGAAGGGTTGGTGTGATAATTGGTAAAGGTGGAGAGACTATAAAATATCTTCAGATGCAATATGGAGCAAAGATCCAAGTTACGAGAGACATGGATTCAGATCCTCATTCACTCACCCGAACTGTAGAGCTAACAGGTACTTCATAATCAATAGCAAAGGCTGAGTAGTTGATTAAGGATGTGCTTGCTGAGGTATAGTTGATATCAACATGATATGATTTCCATTTAGTTATGACATGCTTTGACTAGCATGTATACATTTAGATGATCTTAATTCTTGATTTTGTTATTGAGGCCGAGTCAGGTGGTTCTGGCATAATTTCTAGAAGAATGCCTGGTGAGTAAGCTGGTGCTGAACCATTTGTGATGGTTTAAGTTTACTAGCCATTTGTTGCAATTGGTCTTTAACTTTTCCATTTCCTGTTCATGCTTCTAGGTTGGTCTTATTATTGGTAAAGGGGGGGGGGGGGGGGGAGAGACCATAAAGAATATGCAAGCCAGTACAGGAGCTCGTATTCAGATGTAGTTAAGTTTCTCTTTTCTCTATGAGCCTCTCTTCTATATTGAGTGTTAAAGTCTCTCTTTTAAGGACTACACTTGACAAGAGAAATGATTATAGCTGAAAAGATTATTGTACATGTTATCAGGTGATACCACTACACCCACCCCCTGGTGATACTTCAACAGAGAGGACAGTACAGATAGATGGATCCAATG